GTTTGGTTAAACATCCGTCTTTCTGCACATTCCTGCAAAGTGCACTGGGAATTACGACACTCACAAGCTCACACTACTCAACCTTCCGTCACATTCTGGACTTCACTAGAGGCGAGCCCCAGACCACCGATACCTCACTGCGGATGCAGGTCGGGGACCTGTCTGGGGGCCCACCCAGCCCCACACACATTTGTGCTCATAGCTTATTCTGTCAGGCTTGGATTTTTCTTCCCTTACTTCTTTAGCTCTTGAAACCTTCTTCTAAAAGCCCCTTCCAAATCCCTTCCTGGTCTGAGTGCACAGCACTCTGGGGGGCAGGCCCCAACAGCACCGGCTCACAGCTCCGTTAGGGGGTGTATGTTAGTCAGCTTCCGTCAGTGCGGACTCTCACATGTCTGCCTCTAACAGCCTCCGTCCAGTCCAGCGCTTCTTCCTCTTCTTCCCACCCCCTAAACACAGCTGTGAATCCTTAACCCCCTGCTGTCTTCCCTACAAAGGGTTTGCAGGCTCGTTGCAACTCACCACTCACTGCTCACAAGGGTAGTGGTTCCACGGTGGAGAGTGGGTTATGTCTAGTTTGCAAATGCTCCTAGGAGATTCTGAAGCACCACAAAGGACGCCTCTTCTCTTTGCTGCCCTTACCCAGGTTTTTAGATCACTACTCTCTCATTCCTAGGACAACTCCCTGCTCTCAAGACTCCGGCCCTAACGCCCAGGTCCACTCTCCACGTGGTAGGCGTCTGTTGGCCACGGCCTGTGGTGTACTGCCGTTGGATACCAGCACGTCTGAAACCAAGTATCACCTTCTCTTTGAAAGGCACTTCCTTTCAGAGCTTTCCTGTTTCTGTCTTCTGCCATCTTGCTTAACATTTATCTACAAATGTTCAGCACTATTTAGCTAAACATTGAAGAAAAATTAGAACGTCTCTTAGGAAGAAAGTAAGCAAAACATCTACAAAGAATTTAGCTGATTCATCATGTTGTTGTTGGTACTGCCCAGTCAGCTCCGGCTCACGGTGACCCTGTGAGCAACAGAACAAACCCTGCCCGCTCCCGCA